CTGATCAAGAGACTGGCTCCCAATCATTTCTACAACCTGGATTACAGTGCAAAATGACTGAAGAGTCGACATCATCTCTTCCCTCCTACAGTCTATCAGGCTTTAAAACATGCCTGACGACTCATCCACCACTGGCTTCCCTACACAGGATTGGCACAGTGTTTTTTTGGAAGAAGAGGGATATTTAATCTTGCAGACTCCCATGTGTGCTGACTGATGAGAGCATTCTTCTATCAGAGGCCTTGGTTTGTCCAAACATCAAACCAGCGCCTTTGTTGAACACCCAGGTCAGTACTCATACCACCTCCTACATAGAGGAAGATAGAAGACAAAGTTCCTTCAGAGGGTTTGTTTCTGCAAAACACACAAAAACGTAGCCCAATGAACACCAGAACTTGAAAAGGTGTCAACCAGTCCCTCATGTCTCCAAACACTGAGACACAAAGAATAGGCATGGGGGGTCCAACCCCTGTCCTACCTCAGAGCTGCTAGCACCAGGATCCACCTTTAGAGGAAGAATCAGACACAGTAGCAGCCCTCTCAGATACACTACTCGGCCGCTTGAAGGGGAATGTGCGTCCCAGAACATGAAGGAACTGCCACCGCATGGCTACCAGTCATATCTGCATCCTGTATCACCGTGCAGAATGACTGAAAGGTTGACATCCTTTCTTCTCGCACAGAATCTTTTTAAACATGCTGGAAGATTCATCCTTGACCAGTTTTCCAATGCAAGACTGGCACAGGTTTTTTTTTTTGTTTTTTTTGGATGTGGAGGAAAACTTTACACAGCATTGTGCACATTTCTTATTGCCAGATCGATTTGCTGCAGTTTTTTTCTGCAAAACAAAAACGACAAAGCTATGTTGAAAAAACAGCAATCTTCCAACGTGTGTCAACCCCATTTCTCATGCCCTCAAACACTGAGAAATAACCGGTAAAAGGAATGGTGAACTCCCCTCTCTTACCTTAGAGCTGCCGGCACCAGGATCCCCCAGATCAAATGATGCCATTGTGGTAGTTGAGTCGCCAGCTGGGCCCCCTGGCCCCTCTGACTCCAGCTCCTGTGCCTTGGCATTGGTGCCCCCCCTTGCGTGTGTGGGAACCGCAAGGGTTTTGCGACCCACTGCTTCAGCTGTGTTGGCCATCAGTAGCGTGGACCGAGCGGTTGCTGCAGCCTAGAAGCGCCGGGTCCAATGACCCTCGCGGCCGGAAGTGACGTCAGACGCTCTGCGGGCCCGGCCGGAAGTGCGCGAAAAGCGTCACTTCCGCCTAATGACCCGTCCATCGGAATAACTGAAGCGTGCTAGGCTTGGGCTCCTTTTTATTTTAAGTGTGGGTGATGTGTTTCCTGTTCCGGTGGGAGGAGCCTATCTCTCTAATGCTGTCCTGGAAGGTGACTAGAGAAAAAGAGATTGAGTCCTCTTTTTCTGCAGCCCCAGTTATAAATGAACAGGAATCCTCTATACTGAGTGTTCCTGTTTATTCATAACTTGCGCACATAGAATATATACTATAACCACAATCATGAATGAACAGGAGGTGATGAACACTCCCATTGATTCATAATTTAGGATATAGTAAACCATACTCTGTCCTCAATTATTTACAAACACTCAGCGATCACTGAGCGTTTGTACCATTCTCCATCCTGACAGCTGTCACCACCCCAATCACACCCCACCATCTCCCGACGGCCCCTGCCCCGTTTCCCTCTCTACTATTATTTAACAGGGGTAAGATTGTACTGCAGTGACTGAAAACAATAGCAAACCTGCGATTGGCTATTTCAAAATGCAATAGCCAATCGCAGGTTGGCTATTGGACCTGCCCACTGCCTGCAGTCATTCAGCAGAGGAGCAGACCTGAAGGAGAACTTACTCCTTCAGGAGTAAGTCCGCTCCTCTGCTGAAGGAGAACTTACTCCTTCAGGTCCGCTCCTCTGCTGATTGACAGGCAGTGGGCGGGTCCATTTTGCATTTTGAAATAGCCAATAGCAGGTTTGCTATTGTTTTCAGTCACTGCAGTACAATCTTACCTCCGTTAAATGGTATACGGGGAAGCGGAGCGAGCAGAGGCAGCGGAGCGGCCAGCGGGAGATGGTGAGGTGTGATGGGGGGGTCTTGGGAAGATGTGGGGGAGCGGAGTTACCTCCGCAGTGCAGCAGACGTCCAGGCTGGAACTAGGTAAAAGACAGCTGCAGGCCGCAAGAGTATGCCGCCGGCAGATGAATGTAAGTACAGCAACCAACAACTGCGGATTAGAGTTCCGATCCCCCCACTCCCTCCCTCATTTTTATTGTGGCCATCCATTCCTGGGTATAATTATTGATATACCTGCAGACAGGAGGATTTACACCCGCTCACAAAGAAGAGTCAGGTGAGTCCGAGTGGGGTCTGGGCAGAGTCACAGCAGGTGGCGGGGGCTTTAAATTGGTGGGCAGTGTTTGAAGCTTGTACTGTGGGCGGGCAGGGTAGGTGGGTCATTATCGGGAAATTTTTTGTTGTTTCGGCATTTCCCCAAAAGACCTATTTTCGTCCGATATGTATCGGTCTCTGATATATCGGTGCATCCCTAAATATACATACATACATACATACATACATACATACATACATACACACATATACACATATACACATATACACATATACACACACACACACACACACGAGGTGCACCGAAATAGAAATTTAAAAACCGAAATAAAAAAATTGTCAGGCCAAAACCGAAAATGTTTTTATTTTAATTTTTTTCATCTTTAATTTTTTTTATAAACTTTTAATGTTTTTTATATTTATTTTTATTAAATATTTTTACTTACTTTACTTTTAGGGGCTTCAGGGAAATATTGGGGGTGGGGGGGGTCTAAACAGACCCCTTATATTTCCCTTTTAAAATAGAAAAAGAGATTTAGATAACGGGGGCCTCAATCTATTTTTCTGTATCCCCTGTTATCAATGAACAGGAATCCTCTGAGTGTTCCTGTTCATTGATAACATGAGGACATTGTGTGTTTACTAGAACTACAACTATGAATGAACAGGAGGTGATGTAGATCACTCCCATTCATTCATAATTGAGGATATAGTAACCATACCATATCCTCAATTATCTACAAACTCTCAGGCCTTGTTCACACCAAATGCAGAGCAGATCAGGTCAGGTTTCTGCACACGCAGTGCAGTGGGTTGTGCCGCGTTTTTGATGCGTTCCGGGCCGTTTTTGGTTTAAAATTTTTTTTTTTAAAGTTTAACATGGGCTTTCAGGCACTTGCATGCGTTTTTGATGCGTTCCAGAGCAGATCCAGAGCAGGTAAAAAAGGGCTTGCCGCAGTTTTTTCACCTGCTCTGGATCTGCACGCTGCGATGTGAACTGGAGCTAAAAATACCATAGGAATACATTGGACGCAGTTTTGATCCGGTCTGCACCTGCTCTGCGCTTGGTGTGAACAAGCCCTCAGCGATCACTGGGTGTTTGCTCTCGCTCTCCTCTGTCACACACTGTCACTGTCTCCGCCCCCACACCACTCTGCCGGACTGTGATAGGCGGCTGAGTGGTGTGGGAGGAGAGACATCGGCCGCTCACAGCGCTCGGCCAGCTGTCACTTTCTCTCCTCCCCGCTGGGCGTTGCTCTGTGCCCCAGCGGGGAGACCTGGGGTGCGCCGATGTATCGGCAGGAAAATATCGCTTTCAGTATTCAGCCAAAAGTGCCATTTTCGGCCGATATGTTTCAGCGGCCGATATATCGGTGCACCACGAATATATGTCATTTTCCGTTTCGGCTTGACAAATGTTGCTGCAGGAGGTGCGCAACGCCATTCATTCAATGCATCCCAAATGCACCTCCCGTCCGCAGTGTGATTGCCCGCACTGGAATGCACGGTACTGCAATGCCCTGCATTCCAGTGCAGTGCGATTGCAAAAAATGTGCATACCGTTTTATTCTGAAGTAAACTTTTTCTCTGTAAAGCTGCAATTGTGTATTTTAAATAAATGACGGTATTCTTTTTAGTCTATCCGATTAATCAAAGTTAATAATCGGCTAACTAATCGATTATGAAAATAAACGATAGCTGCAGCCCTAGTGTAAAAAAACAGTGGTCAGCAAGTGGTTAAGGAGTTAAACAAGCTTAGAATAAAAGCTAATTCCATCATTTGCAAAAAATATGGATAAATGGTACCTGCAAGGCATTGCAACTGCAATCAGTGGATCGCAGGTGTAATGCTAGACTCTTCCTCCAGCCCCTATCCATACCGAGCTACGATCCTTCAGTTCCAGGGCTGATGGAAGTAATCAATGGACTACAAGTGCAGTGACATCATCACACTGGTACTCTATTGAAATCTGCGAGTCCCTCTGTTGCAGTGGTAGTTTTTTCATTTCCAGATCCGGTGAATGGATCTGGAAATGAATGACGACGCATCTCTGCGGGCAGAGCCACTCCCAGACATACCAAATAAAAAAAAATGAGATCTTGAGGTGAGAAGCACCCAGCAATACAGTAAAGAGGTGCAGTTTGGGGGGCTGTGGACTGTGACCATGTTTCACATAACACCCTAAATATGGGTGTAACATGTACCATGCTCTGAAAGATGTTATCAGTCTTTTATGGGAGTCGGCTTTACATACAATTAGGATTTGCACTGTACACACGTGAAAAAACAAAACACAGGACTTTAGAAACAGATGTGTATTTTCTCCCAAAGCTGGGGCAATAAAGCATGGCTTCTCTTCCATGCTCTTTTCCTTCCACCATTCAACGAACTGTCAATTCTTAACCCAGCTACAGGCGAATCGAGTGTTATTACGGTGCCTCTTTACATGTAACAATTACATTAGACCGAAATCAGAGGCTGCTGAATAAATCTACAAAAGCAGATATATTTTCACAGCCACTTATATAGAAGCAAAAGGAAATGTTACGCTGTCTGCGGTTAGAATACACACACACGCCACCTCAGGAATTATCACATATGATATCTGATCGGACTCTCACCGATGCTGGGTGGCTTATGAATACCCATGATCCTATTCATTCTCTCCTCCGAGTTACTCATTAGCTTCCGCCTCCGGATCTCTGCCCTACGCTGAGAGGCAGATAACTTCCCGGGAACCGAGTCTCCGGTGCTGTCTGTATCCTCCATGCCGTGCGAGTGCCTCCGAACACCACCCTATAAAACTATCTACACAATGATCTACTCCGCCAGCTCGGTGGTGGCTCACAGTGATGATATCACTGCCTGCGCCTGGCGGCCTCCATCTTGTGGTTGGCGCTTACGTAAAGCAAGAGCGCCAGACACAAATTTTAGCTGCGTCACAAACGCCAGTGTTGCTTCTTTCTCTGCCCTTTAACCAGTCTCTCTCCACCTTCCCCGACTCATCCTTAGAGGAAGCTCCTATAAATAGAACAGTGACGTGTGACCACCATATTGTGTATTAACACTGAAAGCTAGGCCAATGTGATGACAAGGGTGTAATAGTGATGTGTGGGGTGGCTTGGTGCAAAGTTGTAAACTAGTGGAGTCTGGGCATAATGCGAAACCCAGTTTTGTGAATTCACCCAAGCCTGATGAAAACTGTGACCACCACTACTTAGGGTTGCCACATGTCCAGGATTCAACCGGACAGTCCGGGTTTTGAATGCTGTGTCCGGGTTTCATGGCAGCAGAAACCTGGATACAAGATGTAAGGCAGACGGGGGCAACCAAAATTAAGATAGGGGCTACTGGCCCCCCACTGAAAATAGTCTCAACTGTGATATTTACATATGAATAAGCTGCGACTCATTCTCCCAAAAATGTCCGCGCGACGCTAGAGTATTCAGGTTTCGCTTGAAGAAAAGGTGGCAACCCTACCACTACTGCTTAAAGGGTTTCTAAACCCTCACGTTTTTTTGCATATATCTACTGCTAGCAAGCAGTAGATATATGCAAAAAGTTTTTTTGTTTTTTTTTTAAACGGTTTAAACTTACCTGTGTCTTCGCCGCGCGCTCCCGTTCGAAAATCTGAAAATTCTCGGGCGGCCGCAAAGCATCTTGGGGCGGACGCATGCGCAGTGCGGATTTTCGGCCGGGAGACAAGGAGAGAAACAAGGTAAGTATATGGACGCGTGCACCTGGATGCAGACACTGTGGGACAGGAAGTGCCAGCAAGGACAGAGAAGTCAACGCAGGATCGGAGATCTGCAGCAGCGCTGGAGAGAAGGCTGAAAACGACAGGAAAGAAGAAGATCGGATTAAGAGACATCATTTAAGGTAAGTGCTTTAAAGGAGAACTATGGGGTTAAGGCCCCATTCACACTGCGCGATTCGCAAATCACGCGTTTGTCGCGCGATTTGCATTTTGCGCGATATCACGCAAATGCTTGCATTGAGCAAGCTAGAATCGCGGCAAAATCCGCTCCAAAAAGGGTCCTGCTGTAGCGACGCACGACCCGCAACAGCAGGACCCTTTGCCCCATTGCCAAGCATTGGAGAGCGATATCGCGCGGTAAATAGCAGCGATATCGCGGGAATTACCGCGTGATAAATCGCTCAGTGTGAACGGGGCCTAAGTCTTTTCCCCATAGTTCTCCTTAGGGTAACGGGAGGACACAAACTAGCATCCTCCCGTCACCCTAGGCTCGGTATACCGCAAACAACTGTATACTGAAACGCCGTATACCGCAGTATACTGAAACCGAGTATACCGCAAACTATACTGAAACGCCGCAGCTGAAGCGGATCCCGACAATTGTGCCGGGATCCGCCCAGCTGCTTGACTGACAGCTGGCTCTGCTTATCTAAAGGCAGAGCCAGCTGTACCCTCCCCCGTCCATTCCGCTGGCGGATCGGGGAGGGGGGAATCCAGCCCCTCCCCTGTCACAGCAGAGAGCCGTGAGAGGTGAGCGAACGCCGGTATGTGTTCGCTCACCTCCCGATCTACTGAGCCGACCTGTGACAGTCTCATTGTCGCAGGTCGGCTAGAACGATGAGGTGAGTGAAAATCCTTTAATTATCCTTTCTCCTTTAATTAACATGGGGGGGGGGGATGTTTGCCTTTAATGTCACTTTAATTTAGTGGTGTAGTGATGTCCAGTTCCTGAACAAATCATTCTTTTGAATCGGATGAGTCAACTCCTCTGAGTGAGCTGATCCGTTTGAAGCAGCTCAGTGTGGAATCAATAGCAAAGCGGCTCTTGTAACTCGATCCTAGAGCTCAGCTTCTGCCAGCCCCTGCCTGGAACCAATCACATCTGTGAGCTGGATACACCTCCAACAGCTCTGACTCACAGTACACTGAGTCTAACAGGGTTATTCACAGAAGGGTGTAGAGTTTGGAGAAGGCAGAAGTGAACAATCCAGGCCAAAATAGTTGATTTGGAAAAATTCACTAATTCAGCTCACTTTCCAGTTCAGCTATGTTGTCCTAGATTGTTCTCTTCTCCAAACTCTTCACCCTTTTTTGTGAATAACCCTGAAATGAATCGGTTCACTTGCTGAGTCGGCTGACAAGCAAGTGAACCGAATCTCAGGAGCTGTCTGACCCTTCATAAAAGATCTGAATCAGAAGACTCTGATTCAGAGAAGGTGGGCAGCTCCAGGGGAACAGTGATCAGTGCCTTGGCTCAGAGATGTCACAAGTTTGGTTTTATGTCAGACCAGCTATTCTATCACATTAGCCAATGTCACCTCTGGGGACACGTGATCAACTGACAGTAAAATGCGTGTTCCTGCGCATGCGCTCCGCATTCAGATGAGGTGATGTCACAGTGAACATTGCTAGCGGCCAGATTTGTCCATAGTCTTTACAACGCATAGGTGGGAATAACGATAGGATTTTAGTACCGTGGGCGCAGGAGTAAATCCAATCGTTATTGCGCTCTAAACACTAGGGACAAATCTGACCGCTAGCAATATGACGACATCAGCCCATCAGAATGCGGTGCGCATGCACAGTAACACGCCTTTTACTGTCACACCTGATTGGGCGTCACCAGAAGTGATGACTTTGGCTGATATGAAAGAAATGCTGGTCTGACATGAAAACCAAACTTGTGACCTCTCGGATCCAAGGCACTGATTACTGATCCCCAGGAGCTGCCCCCCTTCTCTGAATCAGAGTCTTCTGATTCTGATCTTTTATGAAGGGTCAGACAGCTCCTGAGCTTCGGTTCACTTGCTTGTCAGCCGACTCAGCAAGTGAACCCATGATTCAATTCATGAATCGGTTCAAAAGAACCGATTCATTTGAAAGATCCGAACTTCCCATCTCTACAGTGGTGTCATTTGCCGCAGGGCATTCCCAGCCCCTTTGTGACATAGAGCTGCAGGGTGGGGAATGTGCCTCTCAGCAACTGATTGGGCTAGGCAGAGGAGGTGGCAGTCAAAGTTTTTAGCAGGCTTGGGGCAACTGGGTTTGCACAAACAGCCATGGCATATATGATGTCGCTATGAAAAAAATGGATGTGTCATTGTCTGAGAATATATGCATATGGTTGCAACGATTAGATCACAAGCCCCCATTGCAATAAAAAAGTATTTTGACTTTTGTTAACACTTGTCCACCAAAAGGTTACATTGTAGGTTTCCATGCTGAATTGTGATTTGCTCCATCAGGGCTACTACTATGCTGACGACACACCCAGCGCTCTGCAGCCACATCCACTTCCACTGTGAGTGCTAAGTTGCAGTGCTGACCGCTAACTTGCAGCACAGCGTTCAGGAGCGGTTTGCTAACTTAGCACTCGCAGCGGCTGAGCAACTGAACACACCTCAGTTGTGGAAAGAGCATCCCCCCTGCTACCCTTTGTGACGTTTAGGTGCGGGATGGAGAATGCTGGCTGAAACTGACTGAGCCAGGAGGGGGGATGACAGTGACAGTTTTGAGTAAACTTCGTTCATGCCACGGCTAGGGTGTTGTGTCATTGATATTCTCTTACTTTTGAATAATGCAGTAGGTTATTTGACCTGCTAGCCAGGACCAGTGAGTCTATAGGGAACTTTGCTGTACAGGAGGAGAGTATTGCTGTGAAATGATGCCTTTTTTTCAACTGTTTGGCAATGTATTTAACCACTAAGACCAGGTGTCTACACCCTCTTCCTGGCCAGGCCATTTTGGAGTATTTAGCGATGCAGTACTTTGACATTTATTCCGTCATGCAACACTGTACTGAAATTAATTTTATACCATTTTTTGGGAACAGATAGAGCAGGGGTGCCCATTAGGTTGATCGCGATCTACTAGTTGATTGCAAACTGGTAGTACTATGTGTCCCCAATTATTTACAAACACTGGAGTGATCAGACGATGGGGGGGTGCCCGGAATTTCAGTTAATAGCTGTCATCAGCGGGTTGTGAGCTTATAGCAGAACTGTAAATGCCAGCACCATAAGGCATACTGAACTGGCCAACTGTGAACAGTTTTGTTCCGCTGTATGCCTTACGGCGCTGGCTGGGAAAGGGTTAAAAGCTTTTGCTGCTCATCAGTTTAGTGTTATCAGTGATTAATGGACCTAGAATGATTGCTCTCACTGCAACGTTCGCGACGATATGTAACATGTGCAGTGTAATGGTCATAATCGGCGTTTCCGCACGTATGCGCACCCGATGCATGTTTGCCCCCGTGTATGCATGGGTGGGGACTTTAAAAAAAATTTTGTTTTTTTTTTATTCTTTTTCATGTGTGACTTTAATTTTTTACCTATTTTTTTTTCCACTTAACTTTATTGTTATCACATAAGGAGCTAAGAAACCCCCCTATGTGATAGCAAAGAGATGTGACAGGTCCTCTTTATTGAGACTAAAGGGATCTCCAAGATCCTTCATCACCTTCTCTCCAGCTTCCAAAGCTGGAGAGTGATACAAGAATGCAGAAGTTATGTAATAGGGGATCGGAGGGAGATCGTGTACCGATCTCCTTTGTATCCCCTGTCACAGAGCCACCATGCTGGTCCCGGGCTTGCACCAGGCACAGCGGAGCTCGGGGACCAGCGGAGGGGGGCACGGGACATTATACAAGTGATCCGCCGGCTCTATAGCTTGTATGTGAACAGGTAGCACTGCCTATTTTTAAATCCAGGTAGTTTCCCGTTCACGGTGCGCACATCTTTTGATGGCCTGTTACATCCAGGAAGCTCCCGGCCGGCCAAGAGGTGGTTGAAGACAAAGGGGAACCAAGCTGCA